AGCCGGAGCTGGGCGGGCCCAGCAGGCCCCGGGGAGAGCGGAGAGCTGGCTGGAGATGGAGGATTTTGCGCTGAGAGAACTGCTGCTGCTCCGGACCTTGGCGGAACAGACCAAGGCCTGCCCCGATAAAGTGCCGAGCGGTGGCACTGCGAAGCAGCAGCACAAGAAAGCAGCTCCTTGCCGCTGTCTGTAAGAAAACTGGACCCAATGGGAAAATACCAGGTGACCATATGCATTACAAATTGGTTTGGAGTTATTCCTCATAGCGTTGTACTTGGCCCCGCTGAATCCCGTTCTGGTTTTCTCTGCGGCGCTGCCTCAGTGTGTCGGTGCCTTTTGAATTCTCATCTTGGCCCACAAAATGGTTGGCCAAGAGCTTCATCCCTCCTTGGTTTGTGTCCACGGCAGGTATAATAAATATATTCCATTTCATCTTTTGGGTCAGTAATTAAAAGAACAAAGAGACCTGTAGCCAGCACAGATACGCCGTTTGCTTTTTTTTTAATAATACTAACATTGAAGCACTGATAATTGTTGGTTATAGTTTTGGTTTTCCAGCCAGTTTACACCCACTCAGTAGAAGTTTCATCAAAATGACATTTCTGTTCCTTATGTCATGTGAGATTTGTTTAAAGCTTTTAAGATACACATCATCTACTGCTTTTCTCCCTCCTATGTGGCTTGTAACCACATTGTGGAAGGAAATTAGATTGGTTTGACACGATTTGCTCTTGACAATTCCATGAATAGTCCTTATTCATCTAAGTAGTATTATAGAAGTAATTCAGCCCTTAGCAGTTTCAGGCCATTAGTTTTCAAAGATAAAGTACAGTGTAGATAGTGTCCTTTGTTGGTATCTGTCGTAATACGTAATGGATCAGAGGATTTTACATCGGTTTAAAGCGTTATTATAATAAACATTTCCTCTCTTTCACAGTGAGCGGAATTTTCACCACTATTTTAAATGTTATTTTTTGACTTGTATTATTAAAAGCGGTAATCAAGCATTTTGCTATTACTCACCATTTTCAAAGGCTTATTTCAGTGCTCAGCTACCATACAAAAATTACAACAATAAAAATAAAATCTTTTGCTATCCTTTAAGTGATTCTCTTTCAGCCTGTCATTTGCGTTGTACCCACATGAGCATATTTTGCATAGCTAACACAGATGCCTGGAGAGATCAAATAGTTTCCCAGTGATTTACCCTAGTGCCAAAGCAAAATGCAAAAGAATACTGAAAACCAATGAGCCACTTCATTTTGAAACTATAATATAGACCTGCCTCAAGGGCCTTTTTTTCCACTGCCTCAGGAAACCACGTTACCTTTTGCCTTGCAAGAAATCTGCATAATTGGTTTTCCTACCTTGAGCAGTTGAAGGCAGTCTTAAAGTCCAAAATACTATGCATCTCACAGAAATAAGATCAGTACTGTAGGATCACTGGTAGGCATACCGTTTACATATCCATCACTTCAAAGTCTATACAAAGAAAAAAAAATGACAAAAAAGTTCCACCATACACTCTTTGGTTCTGAGAATAGCTCCAACACCAACTGGAATAACCCTCACAAATATTTTTGTGGGTTTGGTCTTTTGTAAAGCTAATCTAGCAGAAAATAAAATTGATTTTTAGAAAAGTAAGCTGAAGGAGTTCTCCAAACTGTCACCTAAGAAAGAACAATTCTCAATATTTTTAGTTTTAATAATTTCTTTTAGCACTGGTTTGTTAATTGTGGGGGAGCTAATATGGCAGTAGGTTGTACTGAACATGGATATGAAAAGTAGAATTTGGCCATTAGAAAGGGATTAAATTTGCTTGGCAATAAAGCAGACATTTTCAAAATACCTTGATTGTTAATAGTGGAATGCATTGATCACAGTTTGATTGAGTAGTATTGCACCATCTCTACTAATTGTGAAGACAGTGTTATGGGTTATACACTTCTCATAATTGCTTCTGGCTCCTTATTTAAATTTTAACATTTGAAAGTATTGGTTTGTTTGCCCGACATGTCGTTGCAGTCCACATACAGTGCTAAAATATGAGTCTAGGAAAATGCAACCAAAAGTTAACACAGATTTTACTGCCAGATTTGAGTCTTTATGGAAACTATGGGCAATCTTTGCATCTTTCAGAAAATTCCACTCCGGACTTTTCAATAGTTCAACAAAATGAAAAACACAATATTTAATTTTAATGCAAATTGATAATGTTTTCTTTAAGTAAGGGTAAGAAAATGTTTCAAAGACTTGAAATTGCTATTCAGCCTGAGCACTAACATGATAAAAATATAATTGATTTTTGTCTGAAATTAGATTGTCTTTTGTTTAAATGTATTCTTTCTCCACCCAAAATCAATTAAGGGTATCCAGGTATAGCTAGCAGAGATTTGTTGCCAAATGACTCCAAATTTTAAAAATGAATTAACATTTGAAAAATTACTTGGCAGATAATTAGGTTGATTTGTGTGCAATAGGAAGTAAGCAGCTAAAAAAGAGTATCTTATCAAGACTGTAAGCTTTCAAGGCTGGTGGAGCCCTGTGTTTCCATTCTTGTTTCTGGGTGTCTGCGTAGTACCATATTAATAATATAGTAAGTTAAGGGCATGCTGCAAACTCTTACTCATATGAGCCATCCATTTTGGTCACAATTTAAACTAGAAATTATATTAAAGAAAGGCTAAAGCAATGTTCTTCAAAACTAAGGGGTCATTTTAGCTTCATGACCAGGCATGTAATCTTTGGCTGCAGAGGTATGCCATAGCGTACCAGAGCAAGTGTGTGTGGCATGGGGGTCACCAATTCTGGTTTTTTTTCCCTGGTTGGTCAGCCAGCCTTGACACATTTAAGATAAATAAGGTTAAAATGTTGCTTTTTATCTTTTTTGTCCACATAGTGGTAATTACTTGGTTCATGAAGAAATTAAGTCTAAGATAGTTAAGTTTTAGGCCAGTTATCAAAGCTCATGGGATAGACAACGAGGCTGATGTTGTATGATTAAGAAATATGGATGAATACATTAAATTCTGAGATAGTCTTCCATATATTGTTATATAGTAAAATAAGATACAGTGCCCTAAAAAAGAGTTATGGAAGTTGTGGCAGTTCTGGAGAAGCCAGAAGAACTTTCATTATAATTGCCTTTTAAACATTAGAGACTACTTCTATCTGACCTCAGACTGCTGGAGAGCAAGGAGGACACCTGGGGTCAACACATTCCCTTTTTTCCATGTTGTCTTAAACTGGAGCAGTTGTTCCCAAGCTTTTTTAAAGCTAAGCCTAGTTTGAAAAAAAATGGTAGTCCTCTGTGACTTCTTGTGCTCTTACCCAACAACTGCTGGTGCAGGGAGCCTTGCTGCTCTGCCCTCGTTTCTGCGCCTCGGGCTTGTTAGTGTTATCTCTTGGCTCAGCCCACACTCTGTCTCAGGATGGCTGCCACCTTCTCCCTTTGGCAGCTGTGAGACAGAGCTAGAGCTGCTCTCATGGCTCTTGCCAGACTATCCTTCTCCTGTGGGGCTGACAAACTAGATCAGGCTGCAAAATAAACCAAGCCAAAATGCCTACCGGTGCGAGTTCTTTGCCTTATCTTTGCTATGCCTTTCATGTAAGTTAAAGCAACTTCCAGGTTGCTTTACTTAATGCTGAGACACAAGACCTGGTCCTGTGCAGACCAGCGTCGGCTTGGCAGAGCTCATGCACGTGGGCTTGGCGTTGTACCTGGGGGTAACAGGCTCCAGCCATATCGGTAAGGCACACCTCAAAAACCCCTAAGTAGGGAATATCAGGTGTGAGAGGAGAAAACAACTGCAGGCGTCTATGAGGAGAGCCTCACGCTGTTGCCTCTCTGTCATTCATTAGAATTTCTCCTCTTACGTCTTTTTCCTGCTAGGCTTAGATACCAAGGCCGACATTGCTGATATCAAGGCAGTTATGCCCACTTGTTGCAAAGTAAGTTTGGCCCAAAATATTTTAGCATATTCTGATTTCAAATATCCATACAAAACAAGTGAGGTTTACCTGTGTTTTCATACGGAATACTACCTTGTTTAAGCAGCAGACTTTGTTCATTATATAGGGCAACGCTTGAAACTGCAACATCTTAACAATCACAATGAAAACACATAAGAAACAGTAATAACGTAGTCATTCTTCTGTATCGTGTATATTAATATTTTCAATACATAGAAGACCACAAAAGTAGCTTCATCCTATGTGAATGCTTTGCCAAACCTTAAACTGAGAAAGAAATTAAGTTGTCTCCTTTAGTTCTATTTTGCTAAATGAGGAAGAAGATCTGGCAGAATTGAGCCCAGTTTAGTTTGTATATTGCTTTCGTGTGGACATTTTAATCAGCGCAGTCCTTCACAGTCAAGAAGAGATGAAAACCTTATTTAAATTTTCACTAGATTCTTCTGAAGTCAGTCATCAAGTTCTTCAGGTTAATATTGCTTATTATAGTAACAGTCACATCACGGTGAAGATGCAGCTGATATTACAGCAATTTTTCCAGCCTTAAGCAAGTGGTGCAGAAAATGAAGAGATTTCTTTTGTTGAATATGCCCTTCAGTAACAAAGCCACATTATTTTTCTTAGGTACCTGATATTCCTTGCATGAATAGAATTAACTCCAATTAACAGTATTTCCATACTTGAAGAAAAGAGAAAAACAAAGGTTTTGATTTTTTTTTTAAAATGTATTCCTAATCTTTGCCATATGTTTTACAAACATTGAAGGAAGACTGGCATTTTCTTTCTTTCTTCTTTCCTTTTTTTTTCTTTTTTTTTTCCCCAGTAATGGAGATAAATTGCAATTATAAGAGTCTCAGGGGCAGAAAGAGCCCTATTGTATTAGACATTGTACAAATACAGAATAAAAAAAGATGGTCACTGTCCTAAAAGCTTCAGTAAACCATTTGACACCAGTGGTCTGAGTCATAATGGCATTCAGTCACACTTCTAGTTTCTGCAATCATTTTAATTCTGCTCTTCATTCATTTTTCCTAGTAATGAGCTTATACTTTACAGGAAACATTTTTGTTAACGTCATAACCTTGAACCTAAATGAGTTCTGTATAGCAAATTAATCTTATTTGACCAGTGAGGCCGATTGAGACATTACATCAACTTTTAGTGGTTTTGGTGTTCAGTAATTATTTTTAAAATCTGGTTCATGTTCCAAACCAGTTCAGTTTTGCTCCGCAGCCATTCAATACTTATGTCATAATTCCAAGTACACTAGCAATGCAAGATATTTCAAAGGGCACCAACGCACTTTGGGTGTATATGGACCACTTACGCAATTATGCCAGCAACAACCTGCTCCAGAGTGTTTCAGTGTGCAAGGACCAATCTCAGCTGAAAATAAATGTGATCCAAGAACACTTCTTGTGTCTGCACACCCTGTTTGAAGCACTGTCACGTAAAACTGGGAGGCACTCCACTGCTGTGGAGCCAGAGCAGCTGATCATTGGAATGCAATCCTCTGGTTAATCCTCAACTGTGAGGGAAAGTAACTCTTCTTCAGGGTTCTACATTGAGTCAGAGGCAGATCCAGGAATGTAATCTGGAGTTCCCGATTTCTAATCCCCTATGGTGAAGTGTTAGTATTAACCCCACAAAAAAAGAGAGAGTGCCTCAGATTTTTAATTATGCTAATGTCCACTAATGTCAAACAGCAGGCTGCTTTAGGCAGAATAGAGCCAACTGATGATGTTCCTAGCACAGAGAGTGAAGATAGGCATGTTTATAACTTGCCTATTTTCTCCTTTATCAGAAGCTTAGACCGAGGAGAGAACAGCCTACAGCAGAGCACCTTTGAACTTTAAGTTTTACAAGAAGCTGAGCAAGTTCCTCTCAATTCAGAGAATTTATCTTTGCTTTCTTTTCCATCCCAGCTCCCTGGGCACGAAGAGAAGAGGGACTGGGTTCATGGCTCCCTACCACAAAGTAACTAGGTTTCTCATTGTAATTGGTTCAGAGGAAGGTAGTTTTCTAGTGAATTCTTCATGAAAGCTCTTGGTCTATGGATCTTGAAACTAAGGTCTAAAAAAATAACTCTATCACAGAAATAAATGTAATTTACATTCTTCTAATTACTGCCACTAAAGGACTGTATTGTACCTCTTAAAATACCAATTTAATTAAACTTTCACATGAGGAAATATAATGGTATTACAGGAAATAAAGGAATTATTGATAAAAAATACTTTTTTTTTTTTTTTTGCACTAAATGATTGTTGAATTCAGCAGTTGGCTTATTAGCTCACACTTAGGAAAGTCGTTTGAGAAAGGAGGTTTGCAAAGCAGGATGGTGTCGTGCAGCCCATCTCTTGAGAATGGGCTCTTGCCCATCTTAACTGCTGACCCAGGACAAGATTTTTTTTGTTGGTGAGTTAGTCCTGGCCAAAAGTATGTCAGGAACTGTTAAAAGTAAAGATGAGTTGCAGCGTCCAAGAATATTTCCTGCAATTGATTAACTTCCTAGTACAGATGTAGCCTAGAGGTTCACTTGAAGGTGAGCTGAGTGACTCTCTAAGCTGGAGAGTGCATGAGTTACATCTGTGTTTTCTATAGCAAGAGCTAAAACACCTAATATTTGTGCTGGAATGTATTTGCGGGCACCAAAATGAAGGTTTTTTTAATCTGGACATGGCCCTCACTCAGACTGTCACTATGAAGACACAATTATTTTTTGTCCTATGGGCAACAGAGTATCCAGGGAAAGATTAAATACCTGTAATTACTATTAACATATCCCAGGTTACAGAGTAATTGTTTTACCCAGTTATTCATGAAAATGTAAGCCTCCAGCAGTTCCAAGAATTATCTGTGAAATAAAAAGCTCTTTAAGAAAAAGTTATACCAAATACCATTTTTCTATTCTGTTAGAATATCAAATATTGAAGATAAAGTGTTTTACTTTGACTCTGTAGCTGCTATTTAGCATCTATTGTAAAAGAAAAACTGTGACCCTTTGGCAGCTTAAAAAAAAAAAAAAATCAACGATTATGTGAAAAATCTCCTTTTCATCATTGCAGTGCTTCTGAAGTATCAAATAATAAAGAAATAATATCACCCCAAATGAGTTCAGAAATGTGCATTAAAAAAAATCTGTGCTTTAAGAAAGTGTGAAAAATCAATATTAAAAAACAATTCTTGACACTGAAAGCTCTTTGAGACATGTTAAGCCACACTGGAAGTCATAGCAGGAAACCACATTATTTCTTGACACATGGTCCATTATCTTATTTGACTCCATGAATATTCATTAGAATTTACAGTCTTTTATTATTTAGCTCACTGCATTAAACATCTGCTTTTTTCCCCCCACAAGACCTGAGGGGAAACAAAATCACCTTCTATTTAATTTGGTTAAAATCATGAAAGGATTATGTATACACTATTGTATTAACTGAAACAAACCATCAAAACCTAAACGCTGATGGTAAACACAAGTCCTACAGTAGCTATTTGTTCTAAGGGGATGAGTTCCCAAAACATCATTTTAGGAAAAGCCCATAGACCAGCATTACTGTGTCTGTATACGAAGCTGTGTTACGGCAAAGCGAGATACCCGTTTGTGTTGTAATGCAATGATCTTACGTCGAAGGGAATAAAATGCCAAAATCTGTCAACCCTACTTGGCTTATTGAGCTCTGGCAATGCTGTTGAACTATACCACAAAAGAGGTTGCTCTGTTCTGGGAAGAACAGCTCCAACAACTGATAAACAACAGACCAAGCGTATAATTAGTGCCTCCTCAAACTTACCCAGTTTTATCATGATGCATGGCAAATGGCACTTGGGATGACTTCAGAGATTTGCTATTCAGAGAATTTCCTAATGACCCATCATTTGTGTGCATGCTTTCCTGACTAGCTAAGGATCAGTATGCCTGAGGGGAAAAAAAATGATAGGAGCTGTGGCTCAAGGAGAAAAGCTTTTGGCCTGAAGCTGTGGTAAGAGTTTTATTTTGAAAGTCATCCATATAAATGCAAAAAAATGACATGCACCCTCATTATGCCTGCACACTCAACAGTAACTGGAGGCAAGGAGTTCTCCAGGTACATAGAGAATAATAAATTACCTTTCATACTGTTTGTGAAAGGAGCAGAAAGAGCCACATCTCGATCCATGTACATTTTTAATAATAACATGAGGCTTTATGCCAATACTCTAAAAATTTTACATATGGCACCTATTGAAAACATGGAAACTCAAGTTCCAGCTCCTAGATGATATTGATGCATTTTTGTCTATAGCAACATCCTCACATGGCCATAAAAATTTCTCACTGAAAACTAAAAAAAATGGGATTAACTAACAAAACCACACCTTTGTAGTACTAATTGCTATTGCAAAAGTGTTTATGAGGTAAAGAGAGCAGTGATGCAGTAATACCTGGGGAAGACAACAGATTTTAATTCCTTTACCTGGCAGGGGTAGAGGACAGTATCCAGCATAACAGGGGCCACAGAGCACAGCACAAACACTTGGTGGAGCCCCCTTGGACTTGCACCAAACCAGCCCTGAATGTAGGCTATAAGAAATGTAGGACCTGTGCTCCACAGCACCTGCAACAGGGCCCAGCCTAAATACCTGGGAACCCAATTTGCAACACCCATCTGGGTCAGTCAGGTGTGGGTTAGCTCAGTGGCTTGACGCAAAGCAGAGCCACCGCCTACCACACTACCAGACCAGCGCCAGGCTCTGCGCAGATGTGTCGTCAGCAGCTCCATATGGAGCACAGGAAGCTGAGTTTCACAGATGAAATCTGGCCTGAGTGGGTATACTGACCTTGCTCCAGGATGGCAAACAGCCTGTGCAACTCCAGTCTCTCATTCAGCACTCTCTTCTGTATCTGTATATGATGCTGTGTTATGGCAAAGTGAGATACCTGTTTGTGTTGTGATGCAGTGATCTTGCATCAAAGGGAGTAAGAGCGTTGA